ACCACCGATGCATCATAACAGTAACTAGCTGCTAGAAAGGCGGCAGGAATAAGGAGCATCCATACGCGCACGCAATTAGACCCCCGCCGTGAGATGCGTCGGCGGCTGTGAGGCAGGTGGGGACATGCCTGGGAGGCTGAAAGGGCTTCCGGACGCATAAATCGCACCAGGCGCCGTCGTACGCCGGACCAACGATGCATCATAACATCAACTAGTTGCTAGAAAGGCGGCAGGAATAGGAGCATCCATACGCGCACGCAATTAGACCCCCGCCGTGAGATGCGTCGGTGGCTGTGAGGCAGGTGGGACATGCCTGGGAGGCTGAAAGGGCTTCCGGACGCATAAATCGCACCAGGCGCCGTCGTACGCCGGACCAACGATGCATCATAACATTTCTAGTTGCTAGAAAGGCGGCGGGGAAAGAAGCATCCATACGCGCACGCAATTAGACCCCCGCCGTGAGATGCGTCGGTGGCTGTGAGGCAGGTGGGGACATGCCTGGGAGGCTGAAAGGGCTTCCGGACGCATAAATCGCACCAGGCGCCGTCGTACGCCGGACCAACGATGCATCATAACATTTCTAGTTGTTAGAAAGGCGGCGGGGTAAGAAGCATCCATACGCGCACGCAATTAGACCCCCGCCGTGAGATGCGTCGGTGGCTGTGAGGCAGGTGGGGACATGCCTGGAGGCTGAAAGGGCTTCCGGACGCATAAATCGCACCAGGCGCCGTCGTACGCCGGACCAACGATGCATCATAACATCAACTAGTTGCTAGAAAGGCGGCGGGATTAGGAGCATCCATACGCGCACGCAATTAGACCCCCGCCGTGAGATGCGTCGGTGGCTGTGAGGCAGGTGGGGACATGCCTGGAGGCTGAAAGGGCTTCCGGACGCATAAATCGCACCAGGCGCCGTCGTACGCCGGACCAACGATGCATCATAACATTTCTAGTTGTTAGAAAGGCGGCGGGGAAAGAAGCATCCATACGCGCACGCAATTAGACCCCCGCCGTGAGATGCGTCGGTGGCTGTGAGGCAGGTGGGACATGCCTGGGAGGCTGAAAGGGCTTCCGGACGCATAAATCGCACCAGGCGCCGTCGTACGCCGGACCACCGATGCATCATAACATCAACTAGTTGCTAGAAAGGCGGCGGGGTGAGGAGCATCCATACGCGCACGCAATTAGAACCCCGCCGTGAGATGCGTCGGTGGCTGTGAGGCAGGTGGGACATGCCTGGGAGGCTGAAAGGGCTTCCGGACGCATAAATCGCACCAGGCGCCGTCTTACGCCGGACCACCGATGCATCATAACATCAACTAGTTGCTAGAAAGGCGGCGGGGTAAGGAGCATCCATACGCGCACGCAATTAGAACCCCGCCGTGAGGTGCGTCGGTGGCTGTGAGGCAGGTGGGACATGCCTGGGAGGCTGAAAGGGCTTCCGGACGCATAAATCGCACCAGGCGCCGTCGTACGCCGGACCAACGATGCATCATAACATCAACTAGTTGCCAGAAAAGCGGCGGGGAACGCGTCTTCATCAGTCACGCTCGCTAGCCAACCATCATGGGGAAGGGGATGTAAGACCGTCATCCTCTGGGATGGGTCGAACTACTCCCACTCTGGCTCGGCAAGTTAGGCGATTTCCTCACAACGTCCAAGTTGAAGAGCTACATCAACAACCCGTCGCCTCCGAGCCGCAACTACCAAGACGCCCTGGAGGAGGACGCACAGGCGCTCAGCTACCTGCGTCTGTCCTGTGAACTGCCCATCAAGCAGTTGCTCATGAATTGCCCAACCGGTCTCGCCGCCATGCAGCTCTTACAGCAACAGTTCCGTTCTGCATCCCAGGCCCGGCTGAGCCTGGTTGAGCCGCAGATGCAGCTGAACATGCGCGATGGGGAGACAACCGCTGACTTCATTTAGCGGGCAGAGCAGCTCCGTAGCGATATAATTGTGGCCGGCGGCCAGTGGGACGAGAGCACAGTGCGCCACGCCATTCTCCATGGCCTGCCTCCGCAGTACGCCATCACCATCGAGTTCACGATGTATCAGCCCCACAGCTCGTGCTCATGCTGCGGGAGAAGGACAACAACCTCAAGACCCAAGCCAGCAAGACCAGCCTGGTGGGAGCTGTCGGCCCTGGCCGTGCCCCCAGTGGAGTCGGCAGCACCGCCAGTGCTGCAGGTGCCGTGGGGGCCGGCGACACTTGCCGCTACTGCGGACAGCCTGGTTACTACATCTGCGAGTGCCCCGTTAAGCAGGCGGACGAGTCCGTCGGCCTTCACCACAGCAACGCATTCGAGCAGCTGCACGCCGCCGGCAACATCAGTTGAGGCAGCCGCAACCGCCACTGTGACGGTGGCGGCAGGGACACTGGCAGCGGCAATGGTAGTAACAGCGGGGCCGACGGAACACTCGAATGCGGCCGTGCTCGATGCGGCAACAGCCACCGCAAAGGTGGCGACACTGCAGGCGGCAGCAGTGGCAGTGGCTCGGACAGCAGCAGAAGCAGCTCACGCCAGAGCCGTGCCACAGTGCTGGTCATCGACGGCAGTGGCAGCAGCTCACGAGTCATCCTCGACTCAGGCTCACCGTACCACCTCACGGGTGACCACTCCCTGCTGCACAACCACCTCCCCGCCGGCGCGCCAAGGCTGATCGAGTGGGGCAACAACCAGCTGGCCGATGTCATGGGAACAGTGCAGCTGCACCTGCGTACACGTGATGGGCACAATGTCCGGCTGCACAACATGCTGCACGTCCCCAGCTCGGGCCTCATCCTAACATCTGTCAACCTTCTCGTGACATGCAGCTGCTCAGTCACATTCAGCACGGACAAGACGGGCTGCTGGTTCTCATGCATCGGCCTCCCTCGCAACAGCCCGTCTATCACCGCATGGAATGAGCATGGGAACTACGCATGGACGTGGACCTGCAGGCGCCGACCGACATCACCGTCAATGCCCTCGGCACCGTGGGCGACAGAGCCGGTGGGGGGCAGGCCGCAGTTAGAAGTGCTGGCGGAAGTGCCGCCGCTGTCCCCAGCGCCCATGGCGGCAGCACCGCCGGCAGCCACACCGGTGGAGGCCAGCCGGACGGTGACAGCAACGGCAAAGGGCAACCAGGCAACGGCAGCCCCGGGGCCGCCGAATTCTCAGTCGCCGAACTTGCGGCAGCACAGCGCCTGCACCGCCAGTACGGTCACCTCGGTTACCGCGTGCTGGAGCAACTGATCAGC